GCTGCCTTAAGCAGAGTGGTTAATAAGACAAATTTCCTCCAGGAATTTTTCCCTGAAACCCCCCTTTCGCCTTCACAAAATTAGGCCCTCTCAGAGTGTTCTGTACTTTTCTTTCTAGGTGCTTATCAGAGGGTTTCCTCTTCCGTATCTGATAAAGGTCCATCTCTAGTGCTAGATAGCTAGCCCCTGAGGGCAGGGAGCACACCTGCTTCTGCTCCTCTCAGTAGCCCATCCCCAACACTGAGCACAGTGCCTGGCAGGAGGTGTCTGTACAATAAAGAGGGATGGAGGGAATGAATGAATGAGGCGCAGTGTTATTGATTAGGCCGAGCCCCTCTGTTGCCGCACTGCTCCATCCCGCCCAGCTGGCGCAAGAGGAAGTATTCCAGCATGGCCACCAACCAGATTATGCCTTCGGTGATCACTTCTCCTTTCTGAGCCTCAGTTTACTCACCAGTAAAATGGGGATGGTAACAGTATCCACCTCACAGGATGATAGATGAAATAGTCATGGGGGCAAAGAACCCAATACACGATGCTCAGAACACGAGTCTCCTTGCTGGGACACAGGTGAGAGGGGCGTGTGCACAGCCTCGGACCTCCAACAGGTAGGTCCTTGTCCCCCATGCAGGGGCCCCTCTGCTGCAGGCCCAAAGCAGTGGTGGAAGGGAAGAGGCTGTCCTCATGGAGAGAGCTGCTCTGGGAATTCTCTACTCTGGTTCAGGACTGTCTTCGCTGTCAGATGGCCTCAGAGCCTCTTTGTCCTCAGGATCACAGGGAAAGGGCACACTGGACTGTCTGCATTTGCTGAACAAGCAAGCAAGCAGAGGCTCTGAGCCCCAGCTACACGGGGCACCCTCACCTACCCTGGGCCTGGCCGATGCCCCTCGCAGAGGACTCTGGGAGCCAGGGGACTCTGGCTGTGCCTCAGGCTTGCTGGGGCGAGGGGTCCACGTCCTTGCCCTCTCTGTGCCTTGCCAGCTTGCTCTGTTAGAAAGGGGTTTTCTGGGGTGCCTGGGTGGCTCAGTGGGTTAAAGCCTCTGCCTTCGGCTCAGGTCATGATCCCAGGGTGCTGGGATTGAGCCCCGCGTCGGGCTCTCTGCTTAGGAGGGAGCCTGCTTCCCTTCCTCTCTCTCTGCCTGCCTCTCTGCCTTCGTGTGATCTCTGTCAAATAAATATATTAAAATCTTTTTTAAAAAAATAAAAAAGAATGGGGTTTTCCTTTTTCTCATGTCCCTTTCCTGGAAACACCACCAGGGATAAATAAATGGAGAAACACTGACATGAACCAGACTTGTGCCTGGCGGGTCTTAGCTCCCTCTCTGTGAGATGAGACTGTCAGCCAAGGCTATTTCTGGGTGGAAGGGAAGGGGGGCACTGGCCCGTGGGCCATCAGAAAAATGACTCTGTCCTCAAGGGGCTTGCACTTGAGGCATCAGTGAGAACGCCTGAAGCATCTTCAGGACACATTTAAAGCCACAAGTTGCACAACCCGGTAACTGAGTTTTCACAGACTCTTCCAAGGGCTGTACAGGTAAGCCCCTGCTGCCTGCTCCAGCCGCCCTGGACCATTCCTTCTCAAACTAAACCACTTTGCTTTAGGCTCTGCAGGATGGGATTCCTCCCGCCTCCACCCACCACATCCAATCTCGAAGCCAGATCCAGAGTCGGGGTCAGATGGGTCAGCCAGCCCCAGGCCTCTGCACATACTCTGCACCCCGCTCCTGCCCACCCCATTGGACCTCTTTGCTAATGCCTATCCTACTCTTAGAATCCGGCGCTGGAAAGCCTCCTTAAGAGCTCCTCACTCATCAGAGCGCCCCTGCAGGCTGGGGAGGTGGTCCAGTAAGAGCCCCCTTCGCACCCCAGGATTACTCGCTCCCACCCCTTACCCCTGCCCTGGGCTAGTCTATCTGCTCTTCTGTCTACTTCACTGAACTGGAAGTGTCTTGAGGTCAGGGCTGGGCCTTGGGCCAGGACAGTGTCTGGACACAAAGTTGGAAAGATGCATGAATGGGAGGAGGCTGGGCATGTGTTGGGGTTCAGGTACCCAGGAACTCACTATACTTTCCACTCAACTTTGCTGTGAACCTAAAAAGTAAAGCCTATTTGTTTGTTTGGTTTTTTGTCTTTTTCTTTTTAATTTTTAAATGAATGAAGAAACCCAATCGGCCTTTGATGACGCAACAGTGCCAGCCCTGCCCATCCACCTGTGATGCAACATGCCCAGGGGTCTGCAAAGGCCATCTGACCTTTGCCCTGGGCTCTCCATGTCTGCTGCTGACCCACTCCTGGGAGACCAGCCGGGTTGGTGGATATAGGAGGAACCAACCGCAAGGCTCACAAACCCTCCCCCCATGCATGATCGGACCCACCCTCTGCCCCATGACCTAAGTATTCCTGCATCCCAGACGACTGCAGTCTCTTTGGGAGTCCTAGAAGGACAGAGCTGGAGCCCGTAGCCCGGAGGGGCCAATCCTGGCTCCAGGAGACACACTAGGAGAGTTCTCAGCGTTCCTGTTCACCAATGGTAGAAATGGGGCAACTCAGTGAAGACTTTTTTCCCCCTCAGAAATTCCCTGCCTTGGCCACCGTTCCCCTGGAGGTCCAGGACAACCAGGGAATGCAACCGAAGCCTTTGGGGCCTCCGCCCTGTCCCAGCCCCCCACCACACCCTCACTCACCTGCTGTTCCTCCAGTGGGTCTCGTCGTCTGGTGGTCCTCCAAGGGCTCTAGGCCTGAGAGGCAGCAAGGGCTTGGAGCCAACCCATGCTCTCCCGCTTCAAAGCTGTGGATCCCTGAGGAAGTTAAGCCTCAGTGTGTTCATCTGCCAATTGGGCCATCCCACCCTAGGGATGGCCATGAGGATTACAGTAAAAATGGCAGCAGTCACTTCTGAGCAGTACTTCCTCCTGCGGCTCTGCGCAGAAGGTGACCACGCACCCTGGTTTACCCTGGCCAGCCCCTGTTGATGCCTGTGCTCCTGATGTGTTCATTGTCCCCTTTTACTCCCTCAGAAGAGCTCACTCTAGATGACAAAGTGAGCTTACTGGCCCCTCTTCACATTCCCAACACAGGCCCAGCCTGTGCACACAGTGCCCACTTGGCTCTCCCCTCTGAGAGGCCTTATCTTGGTTTGTAGTTCTCTCTGAGCCTCAGATTCTTGATTTTAATGGGAAAGCAATGCCTATCCTGAAGGATGGTGAGAAGGACGAAATAAGGAAGGCAAAGCACACACCAGGGGCCGGATAGAAGCATGAGTTCCCTCCAAGAGCCTTCTCTCCCCAGTTCCCGTCATGCCAATTTCCCAAGAGCAGAGCTCCAGAGCTCGACTTCTCCCCTGCCGAGAGAGTGATTTGTGGAAGTTACAGGTAACATATGAAATACCAAGCTGTGCTCTTTCCAAGAGTGCAAGAAATGATCTTCACCCCCACCCCCAAGCTCCCCTGCAGGCTCTGGGGGGCACCCCAGCCTCTCCTCCCTGCGTGCATGCCTGAGCTGGCTGCTTCCGAGCACTCACCCACAGGGAGTGAAGGCGCCTTTGAACTCTCCCCACTTTTTCAGGAATCCAGAGGCCCAAAAGGGAGTTTGTTGGGCCTCCAATCCCCGGGGACCTGCTATCTGGGTCAGCAGGCAAAGACTGTGTAACTTCAGCGGATAAAGCCACCATGAGACCAGCCGGTTGCACCAAGGGAATAACACGGTCTCAGATCATAGCTGGATTAGCAGCACGTCCTCCAAAGGCCCCGAAGCCCCAGTCTCCGTGCCTCTTGCCCTCACACCCACCCACTCCTGACATTCCTTTGCTGTTAGACCACTGGCAGCTCCGGCCCAATCCTTGCCTTGCCCCAGGTAGTACCAAACCCGCCTTGACGATCGTAGAAGGCTTGGTTCCACCAGGAAGCTTCTGGTGTAAACAACCTGTCAGTCACTGGGATCTGATTCCAGGCCTCTTTGTTCCGAGGCATCTGCGTGACATTTCAGATTTTTGTGCTGCCCCAGAAACCGCAATGTATGTCTGAGGGAAGCTATGGGAGGAAAAAGGTAATGAGGCAGCAGCTAAATTGAACTCAAAAAAACTAAAAACTAAAACTAAAACTAAAACAAACAAAAAAAAAACAGGTATCTGGTGGTAGTCGTGGTGTGTGGTAGACAGAGTGTTTCAAGGAACCCCGGCACCGTACAGGCTCACGAAGGGGGTAGCGCTGGTTCTGCGGCAACAGTCTCCACGGAGGTGGCTCCTGGGCAGAGAAACTGGCTGGGGGGACCCTCACCGTCCCATCTGTAAGGTGGGTTAGACTAGCTAGCTCCATCACGAAGCTGGGGCGTCAGGATGGTGGAATGAGATCAAGCAAATCTAACGGGACAGGGAACACGTAACCCACGTATGTAACCCGAATAGAATGAGGGCTCCAGGTGGTTCGGTCCTGCACAGTCCCACTCAGAATGCACACACACGGGCCAAGGAATTTAAAAGGAACCTCAATCCTTATACAGGTCTCTCTTTTTTTTTTTTTTAAAGATTTTATTTATTTATTTGACAGATGGAGATCACAAGTAGGCAGAGGCAGAGAGAGAGGAGGAAGCAGTCTCCCCGCTGAGCAGAGAGCCTGATGCGGGGCTCGATCCCAGGACCCCGGGATCATGACCCGAGCCAAAGGCAGAGGCCTCAACCCACTAAGCCACCCAGGCGCCCCGTTATACGGGTCTCTTGAAGAACTTTGACGTGTGTCCAACTCACCATCCTCAGCAACATTCCTCAAACCCTCCATCTTTTTTTTTTTTTTAAGATTTTATTTATTTATTTGACAGACAGAGATCACAAATGGGCAGAGAGTCAGGCAGAGAGAGAGGGGGAAGCAGGCTCCCTGTGGAGCAGAGAGCCCCATGCGGGGCTCGATCCCAGGACCCTGGGAATCAAGACCTGAGCCGAAGGCAGCGGCTTAACCCACTGAGCCACCCAGGTGCCCCACACCTCCATCTTTTTTAACACTCCCCAGCAGCTCGAAAACTGTGAAGCCAGCTCTCAAACTGTACCCCAACTCCCAGGCTCTGCTGCCACCCCCTCCACTCAGGCCTCTCTCCACTCTTCCTTACGGAGTTCATGGAGTCTCTGTTCTGGGCTTTAATTTCTCTCCCCCTTCGCCCAGTACCAGAATTTACCTCACAAAGGAGACACAACACAAAAAGCAAGACTCCCTGCCCCCTCTTCCCATCTCCTCAGTTCTGTTGGCTCCGTCTGTTTTTCCTACTTCCACACCACAGAATGCCCAGGAACCATGAGGGCAGACTAAACAATCCTGAGGGAAAAAAAACTGTGGTAAGCAAAGCAAAATTCTTTTTAGTGGGTGGCACAAGGGACTGGTAATAAATCTTGAGGCAACACACACACAGTTGTCATTAAGTGCCCCCCTCCAACCCAGCCCCACACCCTCCAGCCACAGGACAGTTGTTCTTACGCTTTCTAATCCTGGATTTTTGTCATATCGTCACTCACTTTTACACCCCCTTCCTCCCCAGGTCTGGCCAAGGCCTTCAGCACAGCCTCGCTTCCCCTGCTTAGTGTGGCTTCCTCCCCAACTCCAGCGTCTCAGTCCTCCAGTCTGTCCTGGGAACCACACAGCTGACCTCTGTCACACTCCCCATTCTCCTCGCTCCCCTTCTGAACCTCCCCAGGTCCTTAGCCCCTGAAGCCCAAGTTCCTATCCAGGTGTCCCACATCAAGCACAGGCAGCACGTCTCCAGCCTTCCTGTCCTCTTGTCCCTTCACTCGCCCTCCAGGAAGCATGGGCGTGAGCTCTGCACCCTTCAACAGGCCCAGCCTTCCTACTTCTCAATTCTGAGCCACACACTGAGTCTGTACCACACAGTCTCACGTTCAATTCTCATGGTAATTTGATTGTTTTAAGGCCTTGGGTTTTCTTCCCATAAGACCATAAGCTGCTTGAAATCAGGGGTCTCAGGATTCTAAGGAGCATCCAGGGTCCTCTATGAGCTCATGACAGGAAAAACAGACCCATTCTTACTCCAGATGCCCCTGCCAAGCCTTTTGCATTAACTCTCTGCCAAGTCATTTTTAGGAACTTCTGGATGAAGGACAAAAGGAACCCTTTTTAAAATGTGTGTATTTACTGCCTGTGTGGTTAATAGACTCATCTGCCTCACAACTTAAGATGGTCTCCCACCTCTCTCAACCTCCCACCTTTCTCCACCATTTGCTGCCAAGTGCCAAACAATGGACTGACTGGTTTCTTGTTTATTTTTCCATAGGTGTTCGATGCACCTGCAAGCCAATGGGAACACAGCCTCCTTTCCGCCCCTCACTTGTTTTGCACACAAGCTAACATGCAACAGACATTGTTCTGCGTCTCGCATTTTCTGTTTAGCAATGTTGTCTTGGACGGCATCCCATGGGGCACCTAGACGGCTTCCTCACTCTCATCTTGTGGCTGCCTGGTGTCCCTGTGTAGGGGCAACCGTAACTGATGCAACCGGTCTCCAGTTGTGAGATAGTGAGGGTGTTCCGAGCCTTTTACCAGCTTGTACGATGCTGTAATAAACAGCCTTATTCAGACATAATGTCCTATATGCCAGCCTTTTTGTGGGACTAATCCCTGGAAGTAGAATTGCTGGGTGAAAGAGCAAAGGACATACATGATTTTGATGGATATTTCCAGATTGTTCTCCAGCGAGGTTGTAGCAAACCTGCAGACCTGCTATTGAGGTAGCAGGTGCCAGTCCCCTGGCCCTCACCAATCTAACAGACAGAAACCTCCGCGGGGGTGCAGTCTGCTTTGCGTCACTCTCCCTGTGAATGTGGTTGAGTAGCTTTTCACGTTTAAGAGCCTTGTGGCGGGTGTGCATTTGTGTGTGTGCATGCGGATAAACACGTGGACTTGATCTTTTTATCCTCTGCTCACTTTTCTTTTGTATTCTTGGTCTTTTGGGAATCAACGTATAGCTCTTTATATCTTAGAGGAATTAGTCCTTTGTTACATGAGCTGCCGATAATTTCCCACTTATGTTTGTTTTTTGACCTTGCCTTTGGGCTATTGCTAGGTGGAATTGTTTATTTTTCTGTAGGCAAATTTATCAGTCTTTGCTTTTACAGCTCCTAGGTTGTGTGTCTTGCTCAGAAAGGAGGACTGCCCCTCCTCCCCCCACCACACACACACACACATCTTTTTTTTTGTCAGTTCAAGCTTGGAATGGCATACCAGGCTTTGTGAGGAACAGGCCAACTCCTGTCCTCCAGGAGATCCCTGTTTACAAAGCAAACAGGCAACTGCAATTCTGTGTTATAATAAAGAAGAGGGGGCACCATGGGAAACTGGGCAAGGACCACTCGATCTAGCCTGAGCCAGCCAGGAAAGGCTTTCCAAAAGAGGTGGCACCCAGGTATATCCGAGGCATGAGTACATAACCTGGAGTCAGCCAGATGAAGAACAGGGGTCAGCCAGGCCAAGCGGCAGCAGGTGCAAAGGTAAGAAGCAACAGGGCTCTGTCAAGGCTGCCCAGTCGGGCAAGGGGATGGGGAGCCTTGCATGGTGGCATGTAACAGGGGTGGAGCTGGAAAGGTAGGCAGGGGCCGGTTCATGGAGGGCCAAGTTGAGTACGGCCCAGGAGTCAGGGCCTTACCCTGAGGCAGTGGGGAGAAATCACAGGATCACAGAAGAGCTAGACGCAGCCCAGTGTGGGGCCAGGCCCTGGCTTGGAGACTTGCGCCTCTCACTCCGCAGTAGCCACAGCAGCCCAGAGAGGCTCCAGACTGCCGAACGAGAGAGAGTGTGAGTTTCAGACCCAAATGTTCAGTTTTGTCAAACTTCCAGAATTCAATAAAAGTAATGAGAGAAACTAGCATCTTCTCTGAGAAATACTTCTAACTTCTATGCCGACCACTTTCAGAGCTCTGACTCTTGGTGGGGCGAGCTGTGCCCCTCATTCCTCTGCAGCTAGGGCCAGGCAGGAGCAGCCTGACGCTGTTCTCTCAACTCCAGCGTCAGGGACTCAGGGGACACCCAGGCTCTTCAGGCCCAGCACCAGCCCATTCATCCAGACCCCAGTTCAAAATGTGCAACGGGGATACAGGATTGCTGTGACAGAGTGGCACACCCCAGGGATGGAGCCTCCAGCTGGCCCACATCCACGGGGGACATCTCTCCTTCCAGCCAACAACCTCCCTGGTCCCCCTCTGAGAAGCCACAGCTGCCTGCAGATGTGCCAGCGAGAGGCCTATCAGCCTCTCTGCTCCTATAGCCCTCAAGAACCGGCATCGTGCAGCAGGTCTGCTGGGCAGCTGTCTTCCCTGAAGTGCCCAGCACAAGGTTTTGCATACAGTAAGCACTCAGTAAATGGTAGCAGTTTGTTAAACCTGGAGAGCCTCAATACTCATTAATAGGTTGCTGAGGGAAAGAAAGGGCAATGTGGACACCAGGGATGCTGGGAACCACTGTAAGAACGACTTTGGGATTGTCTCTGGATTTCAGCTATCCAGGCCCTCCCCATCCCCCAACTTCAAACCTGCCAAAGAGGTTGGTGTGCGATGCTACGCTTTGAAGTGGATTTTCTTTATTGACCTCGGATTATTTTATCCCAAAGGGTCACCTGATTAAGTCAAAATAAAGGCTCGTGGAGGTTTGGAAGCCCTGGTCCCAGCCAGGAGGCTTACTGGTGCCCCTCAAAGGTTAATCTCTACCCTCAGGGGTTCAGGGGCATGCATGGAGTGCCCACACACCCCCCAGGCCTGGCAGGCAGGAAGCCAGCCCCAACCTCAGCTCCAAATAGGCACACAAGCCCCTCCCCGATGTAGCCACCGGGCAGCCGTGAGGTCAGAGACAGGGTGGTGGGGTTTTCTAGGGCAGAACATGTTTCTCTCTGGAGTCTACTTCCCACACTCCTGTGTGCCACAGGGTGGGGTTGAAGGGGAGGCACAAGACACCCAGGTCCCAGTCTCAGGTGCAGCAAAGCTGATGAGGACATCAGGAAGCAAGGACAGGTTCCAACCCTGCCGGCTGTGTGGCTGTCATTTGCATAAAGGCCCCGTCAGCTTAGGGCTGGGGATTTTACTTCTCCCAAAATGAGAGGATCTGTTTCAGTAAATGTTAAGCAAAGCTCACTGGTAAGATATGTATTTGGCTTTAACTTCCCTTTAGTTGACATTTACTATGTAAGAGGCAGGGAGGTGGGTATCTTGTACACATAACCTCGTTTAATCCTCTCAACTCCATGAGGGCAGGATAACCGAGATGCGGAAAGCCAGAGTCAGAAAGGCTGAGCCCTGAGCCATGGTCCCACTGCTAGCACATGGCAGAGCTGGGATTTCAACTAGGGTCTGTCGGGCTTCTGAGTCCTCAACCGCCCATATGAGCTTGGCAGGAAGACACGCCAGTCCGTTGTCAGCCCTGACCCTTCCCCAGCCACACCAAGCAATGCCCCTGATCTCCGAGACCACAGACAGAGGTAAAGGAAGGACACAGACTCCTAAAGGTCACTCTTTATTCCCCAGTCAGCAACCCCCTCGCCCCACCGATCTCACCGCATGGTTTATGGAGACTCTCAGTGTCTTACCAATCACAGGCTGCCCTGACTGCACAGTGCCCGGGCAGCCCACCAAGGAGCTGAAGCGGCTCCCAGGCACCAGGGAGAATCAAGGTTTCTCCGTCATCCCTCAGTCCCCCTCCCAGAGCACAGGGACGTACAGTAGCCTGCTGTGCCAATCCCAGGGAAAGGTAAGGAGGGTCTTAGAAAGCAGGCATCTCTCAGCTGGAAAGAAGTTGGGGCCTGGGCCTTTGGTCTCATTGAACCTGAGGCCAGTCAGGCCCCCAGGGAGGCTCTGGAGCAGGCCCAGGCCAGACCCCCCAGTAAACACAGGAGTCTTCACCATATTATGCCAATGTCCACCTTCTTCATAAATTTGGCCTGAAAACACGCTGGGTGCAGAGTGATACACATGACAGAAATCCTGGGTTCAACTCTGCTGAGAGCCACCATGCTGGAAGAGGACTTCTTTCACTTTGTCCACAATGGTGCCCACCTCGGCCATGGCCCCCAGACCTAGGGAGTAAGGTTCTGCTATGGCCTGCAGACTGAGGCAAGGGCCCAGCCCCCAGCCACCCTGCTCAATGCTCCCCTGAGTGCTCCACCCAAAGCCCAATGATTGAAGGCCAGGACCATGTCTGCAGGAGCCAGACCCATCTAATCCCTTCTAAGGCACCCCCAGGTCAGGCCCCAGGAAGAGTCGCAGGAGCCGTCCAGAATTGCACATGGGCTGTGTGCCAGGGACACCAGGCACCTGACATCTCATTTAATCCTCCCAAGTCTGAGAGGAATCATGACTTCCATTTCCCAGACAAGAAAACTGAGCCCAGAGAACAGTTCTGCCCGAGGTCACAACAGACTGCGATGCCGACCCAGATCTGACCCCGGAGCTGAGCCCTTCTGCGACCCAGGGCCACGGGGAGGGGCCATGAGCCTGGCCAGGTGCGCACCTTGGTCTCCGCACACCAACTGCTTGGCCACACAAGGTATCTCAACATAGCCGAAGGCCTTGAGCTGGCCCAGCTGCTGAGCAGTGATGGGATGCTCCCACATGACGGTGTTCATCGCAGGGCAGAAGAGCAGGGGTTTGCGGCAGTCCCAGGCTCGGATGACACAGGTCTGTGGAGAAGGGCCAGGGTGTGGCAGGCAGGTGCCTGCTGCTCTGCCTGCCACCCCTCCCCAGCACTCCCAATCCCACCCACCGTCCTCTGGGTAACAGCCAGCCATGGGCCGGGGATGACTAGGTGAGACTCGTCCGTGTCCCCCAATCTCGTGTCTCCTCAGCCTCTCCACACCCCCATGGGTGCTGGCACAGGGCATGACGCAGAGAAGGTCCTCCACCAACCCTCGCAGCAGCCCAGCCACCTCCACGCAGACCCCCGCTCCTATGCAGAACGCTCTCTCCGAGCCAAAGCACAAGGCTTCTCCACTGTGGGACACACCTCCCAGACAGAAGCCAGCCAGGGGAGCAGTTACCCCCAAAGCAAAGGCCCAGACTACTCACTGGCTGGGGCCCATCCACCCCAACACCAGTTCTACTTCGAGGCCGACTAAAGCTGGGCAGTGAGAACGCCTGAACGTGACAAAAATCCTCTCCTACGCAGTACCCCACGCACCTCACCATGACCCTGTAAGGAAGCTGCTCCGGGTCCCGGACGGGAAAGCGGCACTCCCCAAGGTCCCATGGAGATGATCCAGGGCATGGAGCTCTGCACGCCACCCCGTGGGATCTGCCACCATCCCACACAGCCTCACTACCTCCCGAGTTCCAGGCCATCCCACCAAGCCACACACCAGAGGAGCTGTGAGAGGGACCCGCCCGCTCAGTGGGTTGCCAAATCACACAGACCTGGGTTCAAATCCCGACTGTGCTATCTACTCCCACTTCAAGCCATGAGAACTTGGAGGAGTAATTTAAGGTTGGGAGTCGTAGCCTCCTCTCTGCAAAAGCCCCCCTCACTGCGTGGTTGTGAGGACAGAGGCTGGAAATGCTTAAAGCTCTTCATGCAGGGCCTGGCATCAAGGACAGACTCCCAAGACAGTAGCTCCTATTACTACTATAGGCAAAGGCTCCCTGGGCCAGGGGCTGCCTGGGGGAGAAATAAGCCTTAGGGCCCCCCAGGAGGGTGCTCCCCTGTGCCCTGACTGCTCTGGTACCCCCTCCCCAGCTGTGGGCCCCTTGGGGAGACAATGGTCAGCACACCCCTTCCCTTCCCTGAAGTGCAGCCCATGTGGGAAGGGGCAGGGGGAGTTCAGAAAACAATGCCATGAGCAGGACCGAGCTGATGCCTGCCCCTCTCGGCGCCCTGGACCTCTCCTAGGGACAGGAAGGAAGTGGGACGGCCCAGAGCCTCAGGACCTGGCTGCTTGTGTAGTCCAGATACCAGCATCTGTTTCCCACCGAGTCCTCTCAATGTGGCAACGAGGCTGAGTGGACAGTTTCAGTCCCACTTCCTCTTGGCCCTGTGCCACCTGCTGCTTCTATAAAACGAACTTACCTAGAGGAGCCCCTCTGCGTGTGGAGTGTGGTCAGGGCGGGCTTGGGGTTTCTAAGCGTCTTCAAAGCAAAGCACACCAACAACCAGAGGACAAACCCAATACCTCCATGCCTCTCTAGCTTTTCCCACCTCACCTCGCAGCTCAGCCCTTCCCGGACAAACCACAGCTCGTCTGAACCTCTGGCAGCAGGAGGGATGAGAGGAGGCAACAGTTCCCATGGTCACATATGTTTGGTCAGTGCTCTGCTCAATCAGTACCTCAAGCTCTGCCCCTGGGAAGCTGCCTGGGAGGAGAGAAGGCCTAGATCCCGATTGAGACAAGCACCCAGCTAGACTGGTGACCCAGGGAAGTCACTCCTCTTTCTGGTTCTGCTTGGCTATTTTTTTTTTTTTTAGTAATCTCCACACCCAATGTGGGGCTCAAACTCATGACTCTGACATCAGGAGCTGCACACTCTACCAGCTGAGCCAGCCAGGAAGCCCTCTGCTTGGCTATTTAGCACAAAGAAGGGGCTAGGGCCCGAGTAGGCCAGAGGGCTGGCTAGGGAGACACCTCACCCAGGCCAAGGGCCCAGAGGCCTGGCGCACAGGTTCACACCTAGCACGCTGCTCTAGCAGGACCCTGGGTTCTAGACACTGGAAAGAGGATCTGACAGAAGGGGGCAGCAGGGCGATGTTTTCAGGGATAAAAGGACAAAACATCTTTGATTGAGGACAGAGCCATAGAGCAAGGATGACAGTTTAAACTTTATGAGAGGAGCGCCTGGGGGGCTCAGTCGGTTAAGCATCTGCCTTCGGCGCAGGTCATGATCCTATGGTCCCGGGATCGAGCTCCACATTGGGCTCCCGTTCAGGGAGGAGTCTGCTTCTCCCTCACTCTCTGCCCCTCCCCTCGCTCCTGTTCTCTCTCACTCACTCTCTCTCAAATACATAAAATTTTTAAAAAATAAAATAAAATAAACCATGGGATTTGTAATTCCTTGAAATTTGTGTGCCTTCGAGTGAAACCTTTTGAAGCAAATGGCCTGGGGACTGGTCCTAGGAACATATAACACTGCTCAGCCAACTCGGGAAGAGGGAACCCTAAAGATTTCATGGAGCAGGGGCAGCTTTGAAGGCAAAAGGGAAGGAAAGCTTTGCAGGGGAAGAAAAGAGCCCTCCGAGAGCCAGTCCAGCCTGGGGCACACCTCCTAAAGGTCAGTGTACTTCATCACATCAGCCGCTGCTGACCGGCCGGTGGGAAGCCTGCAGACCTGCTGAATGGTGCAGGGCACACACCACTCAGGCCTACAAAGATGAAAGTGGCCAGGAGCCTCCCTGCTCCAACTGCCTGGTCAGCCATGCACCAGCCCCACTGGGAAGCCTTTTGAATAATACTGACCCTAGACTCACCCTTCTCTGTACTCCCCTACCCCTGCTCCTGGCTGCAGAATCTGTGTGTCACTCTTCTTCTGGCCACCCTGGGCTCTTATTCAAATGACGCTTTAATCACTAGCGGATTCTTCGACAAGTGCCTTACACACTCATCAATAAGCATTCAAGGAGACTAACCTCCTATCGGACCCCCCAACATTTTGACCCAGCTTCACTATTCACTTCTTTATCTACTGAACTCTGAAAATCTCCTTGCTCTTTGCCAAAACAGAGTGACTGATGACCTCCTACATACAGTAAATATTTACCGAACACTTACTATATGCCCAGCCGTGTCCACTGTCAAAGCACCACCTGGGGTCACTAAAGACTGTACCACACACCAGAGTATACTCCCTTCTCACCTGCGTGTGTAACCAAAAGCCTTCTTCTTCCAAACTGGGAGCCCCGTGTCCTGTGTGTCCCCGCTCATGGGGCCCGGTTCATGTTAGGGAACCGCTCAATGCATGAGGGAAGTGGGGTAATAATGGAGAGGAGGGAGGAGAGAGATCACACACCTAGTTCTTCCCAAGAGGATCATATAAACAGGCCTTTTAGGACAATGGCTTCCTGGAGGTCCCTCAGGCCGATGACAGTCCCCACTTTGTGCAGCTGGACTTCTGTTCCTCTCCACCACCAGCCATCGGCTGGCTCCTCTCATCCAGCTTTTCTTCTCCCTTCCCCTCTAAGCGTTCCCTAACACACAGGAAAACCACATTTCTGCCTTGTGGCCAATGCTACAGGAGAGGTAAGTGTGTACAAGAGATCCATGAGGAAGTAAACACTCTTATCAGATTCCCCATGTGGATATCCAGATCCTGGGGAGAAGACAGGGCCAAGTGGGACAGGCAGCAGGGCTGGGCAGGGAGACCAATGGAAGAGCACATCGAGGGCAGCCCGTGAATGAGGGACAAAGGGAGAAGAGCTGAGCACCAAGGGGCAGGTGAGAGGTAGACGCCCTCAGAGAGCACACACAAGCTGAGGCCATCCAACTGCCCACTGGCCGGAACACAGCTGACACCAGGTGGAGGGGAGAGAGTCCAGGGGGACAGGGTTCCGGGCAAATCAGCCCACCATAAAAAGAATTCCAAGGCAAGAACCCCATACAAAGGCAGTCTACAGCTCAGCAAACCAGCAGTGAGGCCCAGGGAGGGAGGAAGGCAGAGTCACTCACAAGCAAGTTGTCACATATGCCACTGGCCACCTTCCCCAGGGTGTTGGCATCAAGAGGAGCCACCAGCATGAGGTCGGCCCACCTCCGCAGGTCAATGTGGAGAACAGGGTCGGATCGGCACTTCCACATCTGGCAGAGGGAAGGAAATGGGGTCATTAAGCTGGCTACTCTCTCCGAGCAGAGGGAGAAAGATTGGCGGGGGTGGGGGGCAACGAGGCCGGGTAGAAACTTGAATGGGAAACCAAGGGAGACCACCTGGGCAAGCCCTGCCCAAGTCTACTGCTGTTCCCTCTCACAGCTATGCTGGGGAGCACTAGCTGTGGAGCCAACAGCCTGAGAGAAACCAGGCCCAAGGAAACAAACGTCCCTTGTCTCTCCAAGCTATTCCCTTTATGGTTTGGTTTTCAAGAGAACTGACATCTGGCAGGGAACTCCTGGCCTGTCTGCTTGAGGCGGATGCTTGGGTTGTCCAAGCCAGGGGAAGGGCTCTGGGGCGGCGAGAATGGAGGGGGTGGGGTGGAGAAGACAGGCCAGCCAGAAATGTTCTAGGCTGAGAATGTTTAAAAATGCCTGGCAGGGCACCCCTGTGAGGCCCACACTCAACGTCTGGTGAGCCGGCGGTGCCTGGCCCTCTGCGGGAGAGCAGAGGCAGAACCCTGCAGCCGTGGGAAGCAAGGCACTCTCGACAGCCCTGACACTGGGAGCCATGTGGACAAGGGTGGTGGGAACAGAGCTCCTCTGTGGTTTCATCAGCCCAGATAAGTACAAGGACACTCAACCTGAGGCCCAGGGCCAGGGCTGAACTCGGCCTGGGGTGGGAGGAGATGTTGGGCCTCCCGCAGGCCAGAAGCTAGACAGATGTTTTCCTCATCGCCTCTGCCCAGAGGGCCCTGACCACTGACGTGAGCCTGGCCCGTCTGCTCTGGCCTCCAGGACCACAGGCTGTGGGGAGGACCCTCCTGCCCTGTTGGTAGAAACACGAGAGAACTCGGCCCTGGGGCCCCCATGCACTGACCTCCCATTCATCAGCGTCGCTGTAGAGAGGGACAGGAATGTCCTGGGGGCTGTAGAAATGTTTGGCTCTCTCAGTTGTGACCACTGCTACTTCCAGCTGTCACCGAGAGAAAAATGGAGGCGGGGAGGGAAAGGGAAAGGAAACTGTTACCAGAGCCACGGGCCTGGAGGCCACACGGGGCGAGGCCAGGCAAGTGCTGTGGAAAAGACTTCTCCCTCCTCGGCAGTGAGCCCCATGTTTGCATAGCTACTTCCGATGTCACCCAAAGGTCAGCCCCCACCAGATGTGGCCGTTTCACTTCCCTATCTGAGGGGCTGCTGAGGAATGAGTCACCAACTGCCCAGTGCATATAAAGCTGCAGGCTCCTGCCACTCGGCACTAGAGGCAGAGGCAGACAGGAAGGAATGCAGGGCAAAGAAGGGCCACCCCCAAAAAGGCTTACAGGTCCTGAGCTCTAATCCACACGGCAACCCTGCCCTCTGCAGGCCGAGGCTCTGGGCAGCTGGGGCCTGGCACACAGTCTCTGCCGCAATGCCCCAGCGAGAACACAAGGCACAGTCCCTTCTCGGACTTCTAGGAACGAGGCCTCGTGGGCTCTACTTGCAGACAGACTCAAGGAAAACCAAACCCGTCCACCCTACACTCGTGGGGCAAGAATGACGTTTACTTTCACACTCCTCGGTCACAAGTAATTCATCATGCAAACAGGGGAATGGTTAAGGTGCCTGGGAGACTAGACGGCCGTGAGAAACAGCGCACCATAGTGCGGACGGCACTAACCAGTTGCCATCATTTGTAAAGTGCCGTGTTAATCCAACACGCTGGCAGACTAAAGAGCTCAGAAGAAGTGGCTGGGAGGGGAAAGGTGTAGAAAATCACATCCCGGGGCGCCTGGGTGGCTCAGTGGGTTGAGCCTCTGCCTTCGGCTCGGGTCATAGTCTCAGGGTCCTGGGATCGAATCCCTCATTGGCTCTCTGCTCCGCAGGGAGCCCGCTTCCTCCTCTCTCTCTCTGCTTGCCTCTCTGCCCGCTTGTGATCTCTCTCTGTCAAATAAATAAAATCTTAAAAAAAAAAAAAAAAGAAAAGAAAATCACGTCTCTAGGGGACATTTATCCAGGAGATGGAAGAGTCAAGGATGACAAAGAAAGACTCATCAGCTGGCTGGAACAGGAATCCCATGTGGCACGTAGGCCAGATCCAGCCTGCAGACATGATTCGTGGCCTACATGAGGTTATAAACATTTTTGAGCCAATATATACAGATCAGGAGATTTCACAAAGAAAATCCAATTTCCTGGCTTCTCTTGAAAAACTAAAACTCTGGCATTCTGGAGCCCGCATTCCTCCTTGATAATGGTGGTGTTGCGTCATGGCTACCTCTTGGAATGGGGCATGCCCATGCCAACTCCTAGTAGCCCCATCCCTCCCTATTGTCTCACTGAGGCCCCCCTCCTCATCTGTGTCCTGCCTGTCCTGCAACAATGAATGACAGCATTCCTCACAGCACGTAAGAGCGAAGCTGGGGCTCAGAAGCAGACGTCTCAGAGCAGCAAAATGTGGTACTTCAGAAGGTCTGCTATTCCTAGCTCCACTGGAGAGCTCTCAGACAGGTCCCCTCTCCCTCACTCTCCCTTAGAATCTACCATCCCCAGAACTTGCACAAAACCTCAGTGACCTTTTTAAAGGTCATTTAAACCAAACCCCCACTGAGCACTGGAGGCCCCTCCAGGACAGCTCTGAACAAGATGGCAGAAGAAGAGGGCTGCTTCTCTCCACAGAACCCAGGCCTGGAGATGACACAGGACCAGCACAGGCAGAGAAAGCAGAGGGAGGCAGGGTAGTCCTGAGACTCTCAAGATACAAAACAGTGACAAGGTAAGACGGGAACGGTAAGTTAGAGGTAACCAGAAGAACAGGTAACTCTCAAACCAGCAGAAAACTCAAGCTACATAATAAAGGATCGGAAAGGGAAAAAAGGAGCAGAGAGAACACATGACAAGTATGTGAGAGGCAGAAGCTAAGTCCTAACATAATAGTTATGACAGTAATATATAATGAGTTAAATTTCCTGATCAAAATTCAGACTCTCATACTGAATTTTTTAAAACCCTCAATTATATCAAAACGTGTCTAAAAAGACACATTTAAAACAAAAGGATATACTGGGGCACCTGGCTGGTCAGTCAGTGGAGCATGTGACTTGATCTTAGGGGTTATGAGTTCAAGCCCCACGTTAGATGTAGAGATTACTTAAAAATAAAACGTTAAGAAAAAATGGTGGGGCGCCAGGGTGGCTCAGTCATTAAGTGCCTCCCTTCAGCTCAGGTCATGATCCCAGGGTCCTGAGATCCACCCCTGCATCAGGCTCCCTGCTCAGCGGAAAGCCTGCTTTTCCCTCTCCCACTCCCCCTGCTTGTGTTCCCTCTCTCACTGTGTCTGTCAAATAAATACATAAAATCTTTAAAAAGAAAGACAAGAAATGGAATGGAATCTCCCAGAAATAAAGGTCAGAGACAGGAGCCATCTCTTCTGCCTCCCTAGTGCCATCTGGTCAGGATCAGGGGACCAGAGCGTCATGTCCCTGGTACCCGCTGAGTGTCTGTCTGTGGAACCTGGGCCCACAGCGCCTCTTCCGGAGGCCACACCCTCCTGCTGACATATACGGGGTCTGCAATCAGCAAGCTCGAAAGAGTTCCTCACCACATTGCTAAGCCACAAACCCCAGCCTGTACCTGCACAGCTACTTTTCTGGTCCCAACTGCAGTCTATCACACTTCCCTGGTAAATTCCGCCTTCTAGACATGGCCCACAGAGAGCTCCTAAGATCTCAGTCCCGCTCTTAGCCAGCACCACCATCAGGAGCCCTCCGCCCCCACCCTGAGACATGAACCAAATCATGAACAGAACAAAGACAAGAGCAGAGCTCTTCCCTAAGGTCCATGGGGGTAGGGGTGAGAGGTGGGAAGGAATCAAGAACAAACCCTCCGAAAATGGGATCTTTCAGGGCTTAACATGCTGACATCACCATCAGATGGTCCAGATCCTAAGACTCTATAAGGGCCTTACCTCAACCCTGAACTTTTTTTTTTTTTTTTAAGATTTTTATCAATTTGGCAGAGAAAGAGACAGCGAGAGAAGGAACACAAGCAGGAGGGAGAAGGAGAAGCAGGCTTCCCACTGAGCAGGGAGCCTGACTCGGGGCTCAATCCTAGGACCTTGGGATCATGACCTAAGCCGAAGGCAGATGCTTAACCAGTTGAGTCACCCAGGCGCCCCCCAGAAGTACTTTGATGTCCAAAAAAACAAAAAAAAAAAACCCTGAAATTGTTAGGCCTTGTTCCCAATGAGCCTGATGAAGCCCCAATGACTACCAGTTTCTAAGAGCTTTTCTAAGTGTTCGCAGACCCTGTATATGGTAATTTGCCTTTTTGATAAATGGAGATTTGTCATCTCTAGCTCCCAGGCCCTCTGCTGTTTCCCACCCATCCTGCAGGCCACCAACCAGACAGAAATTTGCCCAGGAGATGAGCCACCCAACTTGGGTTCAAGTCCCTTCTATCACCATTTGTCCTGCTTTTTCAAGCTCAAAAGACAGAAACAAAATGGGACATAACCCTTGTTCCTTTACCAAATGTATGTAATAGCCCTTGGTCATCCTGAGTTTCAGGGCAAGCTTCTGCTCACTCTGGGTTGCCTCTGGGCCATGCTCTTACCTCCATTTTTAGCTACATGTCCTCCTTTCCATTTAACTGTTTTCCAATCTCCTTCAACAGAGAGCTTTCCAGGTAGACACATCGGTCTCTGGATACTGCTTTCTCTCCTTCATGGGGACCACTATCTTTCGTCTCTAAGAGCTTCCCAACTACTCTGAACAAGAATATCTCAGTTCAAGGGCACCTGGGTGGTTCAGTAGGTTAAACGTCTGCCTTTGGCTCAGGTCATGATCCCAGGATCCTGGGATCAAGCCCCACATCGGGCTCTCTGCTCAGCAGGAAGCCTGCTTCTCCCTCTCCCACTTCTGCTTGTGTTCCCTCTCTCGCTGTCAAATAAATTAAAAAAAAAAAAAAAAAGAATATCCCAGTTCAGGGGCACTGGGTGGCTCAGTTGGTTAAGCAACCACCTTTGGCTCAGGTCATGATCCTACAGTCCCAGGACTGAGCCCCTAATCGGGCTCCCTGCTCAGTGGGAAGTCTGCTTCTCCCTCTGACCCTCCCCGCCTCAAGCTCTGTCTCTGTCTGTCTCTCTCTCAAATAAATAAATATATAATCTTTAAAAAAAAAAAAAAAAAAAAGAATATCCCAGTTCAGGGGTGCCTGGGTGGCTCAGTCAGTTAAGCGTCTGCTTCGGCTCCAGTCATGATCACAGGGTCCTGGAATCGAGTTCCACATCAGGCTTCCTGCTCAGCGGGGAGGCTGCTTCTCCCTCTCCTTGCTACTCCCCCTGCTTGTGCATGCTCTATCAAATAAATAAAATCTTAAAAAAAAAAAAAAGAATATTCCAGTTTGTTCTCTATTCTGAAATCTTAAAAGCTACTTCCTGAAGATCTAGTTCCCCTGCTTTCCCTAATTCCAAACTCCCTGTCAGTTCTCCAAAGGACTATGCCTAGGGCTAGTCAGAAATATTTCCAGTTTGGTAATGGCCCTCCTCCCTCTCACCTCTGCCTGCATCCCCCTCATGGCCTGAGCCTCCCCCAGCCCCAGAGAGTTCAAACCACAGATCCAGGTGAGCCTCCCACCTGGGGCCCCTGCTTGAACTCTTCCCTCTGAGCTTTTCCCCTCAGACTCTAAGTCCATCCTTCTCTGGCTACCTTCCCAGGTTACACAGTCATTGTCCGGGAGCTTCCTGGGGCCAACGTCTTTACCTCAAGAGTAATGTGAAGAGTATGTGATGAGCCAATCCTTCCTGATGCCCGTCCCGACCCCACTGAAGTAGCTACCTCTTCTTGGCAGTGACTTGACCCTCGTGCTGTCCAGCAGGCCCAAGCCCGTTTTTCTGGTTTTAGAGGGATGTCACTTGATCTAATTCATCAGCCCTATGGGCTTTGTTCTTTCATTTTCATTTACTCTGCCAAATGTCCTGGGAGCCAAGGACTAGGC